GATGGTGTGGAGGGAGCTGGCCAGACGGGGAGGCGTGGTCGGGCCGGCCTCCGCCCTCACGTGCGCCTCTCTCCGCAGACGTGTCCGAATACAGCTGCCGCGAGCTGCACTTCACCCGCTACGTGACCGACGGGCCCTGCCGCAGCGCCAAGCCGGTCACCGAGCTGGTGTGCTCCGGCCAGTGCGGCCCGGCGCGCCTGCTGCCCAACGCGATCAGCCGGGGCAAGTGGTGGCGCCCGAACGGGCCCGACTTCCGCTGCATCCCCGACCGCTACCGCGCGCAGCGGGTGCAGCTGCTGTGTCCCGGCGGCGCGGCGCCCCGCGCGCGCAAGGTGCGCCTGGTGGCCTCGTGCAAGTGCAAGCGCCTCACCCGCTCCCACAACCAGTCGGAGCTCAAGGACTTCGGGCCGGAGGCCGCGCGGCCGCAGAAGCCCGCCGCGCCTCCCCAGCGGGCGCCCCGGAACCAGGCGCCCCGGGCGCCCCAGGCTTCTGCCCTCTGCGCGCGGTCTGATTGTATTTCATTTTAAATGCCTGCAACCCAGGGCAGGGGGCTCAGACCTGTCTGGCTGCGCAGGAGGCAGCTAGGCCCGGTGGATTCTGGCTGCCAGCAAAGCCCCACACTCCCCGCTCTCCGAGGGGGTCCCTCAGGGCAGGCGAGGGAGCTGTGAGTCAAGGACGCTGAGCCATGCAACCCCGCCCACCGGGGCCACCTACCTTTGCATGTCCCACTTCCGAGCAGGCAGAAGAGGAAGCCCCGGGGTTTAGGGAGCGGTGGGGAGTGAGAGAAGTCTGGGGACTGGTTATGAAAGGTCGATAAGATCCCCCGCGTCTGGCCATCAGACAACACAGCGCCATGCCGTGCCAAGAGCACGGGACATGGGTTCTTAGATAGGGTTCTAGTCCTGGTTCTGCCACTCCCTTTCTGGGTGACCTTGGGCTACACTCTTCTTTTTCTGAACCGTGACTTCCGCTTTGTAAAATGCAGGTGGGGTTGGCATTAGGATCTCAAGGAATCTACTGCCATATGATTGATTCCAGGGACTTGGGTGGCTTTCAAAGGAGCAGGAAGAGAGAGGTTGGCTTGAATCCCTGCCTGGTCATGTCCAGAACCCCGAGTTGTAATTTTCTGATCTGACAGCCAAAGATGAAAAACTAGCAGGGAAAAGAAGGGCCCGTTTCTGGCTGCCAAACTCCTGAAAGATGCTGAGCTGTGTCTCCCAGCCCTGCCTCCCCAGGTGGTTGGCTACCTCCGCCCTCCATTGGGAAGGGTGCAGAAACGCCATCCACTGGGGTAGAGGAGTAGGTCCCCAGGGTGCCGGGAGGGACAGAAATCACCCTCCTATTCCCAGAGAGCAGCACCCTCCCCCCATGGCCATCTTTTAAAGTCACCTTCTAGAGAAGCTCAAGGTCCCAGGACACTGGGCTTGCAGGCCCAAAGGAGTAGCCCCCGCCCTTTCAAAGACAGCGGATCCCTTCTGAGTCCCCTCCTCCTGCCTACCACTCACGGACACATTTTTGTCTAGAAAATTGCTTTTTTACTGCTGTTTCATGGGATGGCATATCTTACATTAAAATAATATTATTGGGGGGAAACGACAAGTGCTGTACATACGCTGAGAAATCACGAAGCCAATGGCTGCCGTTCAAAAATCTTTCTGAAAATCATTTTCAGACACCTCTTCCTTTCTGTGTAGTTTGTAATTGTTAATTTTTTATTATTATTTTTAAAAACAGAAGCACATGCCATGTAAAAGCCTGCTGGGCTGGTCATTTTTTGCAATCTTTCATGTGGGATTTGTCCACAGGAATGAAAGTTGTGGTTTTTAAAAAGAGTTAAGTTACATATTTATTTTCTCACTTAAGTTATTTATGCAAAAGTTTTTCTTGTAGAGGATGACAATGTTAATATTGCTTTATGAAACACCAGTCTGTTCTTCCAGAGTCCAGAGGCATTGTTAATAAAGACATGAGTCGTTATGGAGAGGATGTGTGGTCTCAATTTGTCAACCACACACAGTCACTTCTGTCAAAGTTAACATCCTTCTCTCGGGCGGGCGCTGTGACACGTTTGGCTGCGCGATGGTGGCCCTGGTGGCAATTACCTTCCTTTGAAAAGTCATGTTCCGCCCTTCCCTTCCAAACCGAGACCTCAGTCCTTCACTCCGTCATTGTAATACCCTCAGCCTCATCTCCCTCAAGCAGCCTGCCCTTCACATTGTTCCAGAAACACTGCTCTCGTCCTGTCACAGCCTCACTCAAAGTTCCTGAACAGCTCCTCCTGCCCAGGAACAAGTTCAGGCTTCTCGGTCTGGCGTATAAGGCTTGACCTGCTTGAGTCCCATCCCCCACCCCACCAGGCTTCCATAATGACTCCAAGTGCCGCATGCTGTGCTGTTGATCCCTGCCTCCTTAGCGGCCACCTGCCCACACCCCCAACCACTCCTGCTTTTTCTATTGGGTTCATGTTCCTTGTCGTCTCTTCCCTGAACCTCCCAGAGATGTTTCAGTCCCCACCGATCCTCCTCTCCTCAGGTGTCCGGCCCCTTTGGTCCACGCCTCTGATTCTATGTCTTCCATTTGACCTTCATTCATGGACCACCTGCCTCATCTGGCCACGCCCTGCTTAGTACTGGGATGGACACAAAGCCATGCCCCATTGTGACCAGCTCACTGGGAGCTGAGCCAAGCTTTTCCCCACACAGGAATTTCATGCCTCTAGTAAAATATCAGCAGGGACAACGTCTCGCACTTCTCTCGTAGTGCTGATGCTAGCTGAGGCTCAGGAAGTACTGAGTACTGGGATGGACACAAAGCCATGCCCCATTGGGACCAGCTCACTGGGAGCTGAGCCAACCTTTTCCCCACACAGGAATTTCATGCCTCTCTAGTAAACGTATCAGCAGGGACAACGTCTCGCACTTCTCTTGTAGTGCTGATGCTAGCTGAGGCTCAGGAAGTGCTATTCAGTTGCCATTAGGAGGGTCAATCAATTGCAAAGCTTTAAATCAAGTCCAGCCCATCTTGGGGTAACCCCACCCTAAGAGCCCACCTTACCCCCCAAAGTAAGCTGAGTTCTGCCCTGGTGACTTACCATTTTAACTCCCAATGAACCCTCCCAAATCCATTATCATCATCAACAAGTCTATGGTAGGCGTGGTTGTGTGCTTCTGCCTCCAGGCTCCAGGAGGCCTCAGTGAGACCCTGCAGGGGATCTATACTCTGTGAGGGGTGCCCCAGAGCCCGGAACACAAGAGCAGGTAGGAAATGGGTACATTATCCAGCTCCCAGAGGCAATGTGGTCCAGTGGCTGAAACACGGGCTCTGGAGTCAAGTTTGTGTTTGAATCTGAGGAAACTGAGGCACCAAAGGGTTACATGTTTTGCTGGATATGAACTCAGTTCCCTTCCCTGACACTCATTCAAGCTGCTCAGAGCCTGGTGGGCACGTGGGCAAATGATCAGGTCACACTGTTGTGCACAAAGTGTTATGGCACCAAAGGCGGGAGTGCGTGGCTCTGTGGTGGGGAGAAGGGATGACGTTTAGGGAAAGGTTCCCAGAGGTGGGTGCTGCTTAGAAGCTCACCGGGTGGAGAAGGGAGCACCGACATAGGCGGAGACACAGCCCAAGCAAAGGCCCTGGGGCTGAAGATGTGTGGCTGCTTCTGGTGGACAAGACTCAATCCACCATTTCTCAACACGGACCGAGTCCTCCCTGCGCGCCAGGCAGTGTGGGGCCCAGGAGACAAGAAATTTTAGCAATGCCTCACACCAGATACACCTGGGGTCTGCTTTCTGGGACCTGCAGATCCAGGAGGGATCAGCCCAGGCTACAGCCCCATTACCACGAGGGGGGGAAAAACCTCAAAGGCTAAATTGTAGGTCAGGCTAGAGGTTATTTATGGAAAGTTATATTCTACCTACATGGGGTCTATGCGCCTGGCGCCTTTCAGAAACGGAGCAGACTTTGACAGGCTCAGCTGGGAGGGCGGGGTTCTGGGGAGCAGGGACTCTGGTCTGTCACTGCCCACCAATACCCAGTACAGCAGGCGCCTCACGTGCATCGTGGTTGCATAGCTGTTGTTCAGTCCATTTAGGATCTCTTCTCTCTCGAGATTAGGCAGATGGAACGGAATAGGATGTATGGATGAAGGTGGAAGTGGTGGAGGGTGAGGGGGGCGGGTCTGACCTCTATGAAAGAAGGCCGTTTGCCTCCATCAGCTTCTACTGGGTCTCTGAGGATAAGACGCAGCTCCCACCCTCAAGCAATTTATAATCTTGCTGGGAGACAAGTGGAATAGGAGGGCACCAGGTGCCGCTGTGGACTGTATGGTCATTTGCCACAGGCGTGCTGAAGATCGAGGGGGTGAGAGAAGGGGCAGCGAGGAAAAGGAGCAAGGGGATCCCACGCCAGGGGTGGGGCAGTGCCGGCATGGGACCTGGCATGCCGCGCGCTCTCTATTCGAGTTTATTTTATTTATTTATTTTTAAATGATACAGCATTTTATTTTATTTTTATTGCTTAAAGTATTACAAAGGGTATTACATATGTGTCCTTTTTCCTCCCCGCCCTTGACAATCCCCTGGCCTCCCCTACCCCCCAGTGTCTTATGTCCATTGGTTATGCTTATAAGCATGCATACAAGTCCTTCGGTTGATCTCTTATTCCCCCCCCCCCTTCGAGTTTATTACACAAGGAAGCAGCAGAAGCCAGGAAGGAGAGGAGGTGGGTTGGGGGCAGAGTTGGAGACTGTCAGTCAGGGCTGGAGAGAGGAAGCATCGAGTGGAAAGGAGGGAGGGGCTGAGTCCTATCATGGTGGCATCGACTCCCACGGGAAAGAGGAGAAGCCGGGCCGTGGGAGCTGAAAGGGGCCTCGAATGACAGCTGCTTTGGAGACTGAACCCTGCTTTTCTTACAACCTTTCTCCCCTGAGATTCCCCATTTCCCTACCATCATGGGGGTGCACCCAGAGGGCCAGAGCTGGCAGAGGGCAGCTGCAGGTGGGAGAGAGGTGCCCGTGAGGGAGAGCAGGAACGGGAGGTGGGAGAGAGGGCCAGCGACAACCCTCATTTTCCTGACAACTTCCTGCTTCAGGTGGAGGCAGGAGAGGAAGTAGGAGGAAAGAGAGGATGGACATGGGAGGAAGAGAAGGGTAAGCAGTCATCATTCCACTAATACTGAGTGAGTGCCAGCTGTATGCCAGGCTCCACCCGAGGCTCCAGGAGTGTGGTTGTGGTTGTGGGGCCTCGTGCAGCTCATTGTCTGTGCCAGCAGGGAGCGGATGTCAGACAGATAAAGAAATGCAGAGCCCAGGAATGCAGAGCTGTGTAAAGCAAAATATAGCTGGTGAGTAGATCGCAAGCCAGGCCAGGCCTCTCTGAGGAGGTGGCACTTAAGCTGAGACCTGGATGCAGTGAGGAGAGAGCCGCTCAGGACCGGGGGGACGCACATGCCAGGAGGTGGAACAGCAAGTGCAAAGGCCCTGAAAGTATGTTGGGGTGGGGGGAAGGGACACCACTAATTGCCTTGG